CTCCCAGAGGTGAGATACTCTGTTTTGCTCGCCTGGCGCAGATCACCTTGCGCCCGGCGCAACCACTCTGCTCTGCTCCTTGGCTCCTTATGTTTCCAATCCAAAAGATCTTCAATCCTCAAATCTCTAGCTCAATACCTGCACAAAAATGAGGTGTATTAAGGTATTGTTAGCTAAATTTGGGTTAGTTATATCTGCACACAAAATGAACCAAAAAGAGAACAATTATATTGCAATGGTTCAAAGGATGAGTGGAATTTGTTCAATAAGTCTCATCCAAAAAGAGGTAAAATTGAGACTTAACAATATGCTGATACGGGTCTTGCATAACAAAACCCATGTCATTCGGCCCAGGATTATATCCCTGTGGGGATACATGCATTTGTGAATTGGGTCCTATTAACGGTATTGGCATTTCGACATGCACAGGTTGGGTATTTCGCCAATTCTGTGACATACCCCAGGGATATTCCCTAGTGACATTCGCTAGTTCCTGAGTAACATTTGTTTGCCTAGCTGTGTTTTCGAGTAACACAGGGGATGAAGACGTTGCCCCCCTGGTCACATTAGTCACATTATCAGGATTAGAATTTGCTTGTTCTACATCTACGTGATTATTATTGTTAGTACCTGTTTCTCTATTAGACGTAGACATTGTTCTTCCACTCCTTAATCTCATGCAACTCACACACCTAAAACTAGTCCAATTATGTTCTGATACTTTCCTTAAACAGGTCCCACCGGGCGTGCCAATTTGTTTACGGTGGAATTAGTTTTATAGGTTCTTTATATTTAGACTAGCACGACACACGTTTCAATTTAGGTATATTTCGTTTTGAGACGTTGATGTAAAGCGAGATCGAGCAGAAAGATTTAAACGTTACTTGTTTCTAAATATTCATCAATGACCAACAAGTAATTAAATTCATGAAAGTAAAGCCTTAAATGAACATAATGAACGATGGATACATTTGCAATACAGATCATGGTTCATTTGCATAATTAACAGGAATTACAATGTCAGAATACTAGAACTACACGATAATAGATAATAGGAAGAACGAATTACACTACAACTACTCCTAAAAAGAGAAAAGAAATGTGGCCGAGAAGAAACCATACCCAAAAACAATCCCATGCACGAAAGCCATATGCGCAGGCAAAAGAGTGCTTCAGATTACAGTCTTAGTATGAGTTTTCCGACCTTGTGCACGAGGTTAATACTCCTATTTATAAACTGACTCAATAGCGGTTAAAATTTGAGTTTGAGTGTTGTAAGGTGTAACCGCTATCCATTATGCTTGACGTGGGTATGAGTTATGCAACTTCTCCGTATGTAACTTCTTCTAGCCGCCTTTCCCACGTGTTCTATTTCTGTGCTTTTAATAACCGCTCTAGTGTGTCCATTAGACATCTTCGATCACTTTTCAACTGACTGTTCTAAGGTAATTACTTTATTTGGAATCCTTCAGTAATTCCCACTTTTTCGAGCACTTCTCAGTTCGATTTGGCTCATTGATTCGAGTATATTTCGAGTACAGATAACCTAAGCCTTTGATACTTTCCTTGAACCTCATGAGTGTGCTTTTCGAGTTGTTTGATCTGCGAATCAGCCCAGATCTTCGAGTAAGCCCAACAACTACATTTATTTGTTTTATTTTTTTATATAATTTATAAAAATTAGACAAATTTTTATGATTTAATTTTCTTTTCAGCAATTATTTTAGTGACCATTTAAATTATCGTTACTATTATCACTAAAATATTTAACTTATAATTAAATAAGTTTTCATCGACTCAATAATACTTTTATCAATTATCAGTAATACTTTTATCGATTCTGAATACATCAACCATAAATTAATTGTTAAGAAATGTCTATGTGACTATAAAAATTGTCACTAAAAATTATAATAAATATCACTAAAAAATGAATTTTGTTGTATACACAAATGCCCTCCCCTAAAGAACCTATGAATCTCAACCACACGGGGTTTGTTACTCCAAAATTCAATAATCTCCCTCTGGGAATGGAATGTTTCATCATTACACCCTTTATAGAGTACACATGAATTGGCTTTCCATTTTCCTTTTCCTAGCTTCAACTCATCCCGTAAATTTGAACTAATGCTACACTTTAATTTGCTCGTATGCATTTTTCTTAATATTTTTGGCAAGGCTTTAAAGCCAATATTTCAAACTGTTTGTGCTTCAATATTAAAGTCAAAAAATATTTGCAATATGACAAATATTCCTATATCCAACATCAATTAGTTAGCTAATACTTTTGAAATGACCTTTGAATCCTTATAATTAAATCGCATAATTGTCTTCAAAAGTATTTAAAAGCTTCAAAAATTCATTATCCACTCAAATAAACACATTATGTTAAATTAATGAAACATATATCTCACAAATATTGATCAGTCCTTAATTATTAGTTTTGACACATTACTTAAATCATAGTTATAAAAAAAACACATAAGTTTTATGCTTGGCATGAAATAACACCAGCAATGGTAAAATTAGAATAGTTTGGAGTTGAGGATGCGAGTAATTTATGTATTTTAAATTAAGTAATAATTTTACATTAGTATTTTCTTGAAAAAAGATTCACATTCAACACGACAATAGAAAATCGTAAAAAGAACGAAAGTTACATATCTTTATAGAAGTACATAATATGCTGACATGTATGATGGAGTCATAAACCTTTGTTGTTTCTAACAATTTTACTATATATGGAAAGAGTTTTGGGTAAAATGTTGACAACCCTGTTAGGTCTAGGAAAACATGAGTCGTTACTCTCATTACTGCGAGGATCAACATTTAGAGGTCGTGAGTAGTTGTTTTCATTACATTATGAGACTGTCGAGATATCAAAAGAAAGATCCTTGCATTTCTTCAATAAAATTTCACTTTGTTTTTGCTTCTGAGAATGTGTTTTAAGTTATCCAAATTTCGAAACATATATCCCTTCACCAATGTGCTTTCTTCCTTGTGAGCTCAAATGATCTAATCAATACATTATATCAAATATTAACAACACATTTTTTTATTGTATTTTATATTATTGGTTGAAATTAGTCAAAAATCACAAAATATGTAAATCTCACTCCTTATTTAATAAACTTCTTTCAATATATTTTAACTTTTAAGAGGAAGTTTATTACGAGAAATGTGTTAAGATATGTATTACTAACTAAAATTAAGTAGTCTAAGATTAGCAGAGACAAATCCATCCCATTGTTGAGTACAAACAGAGTCATATCATTAGAACAAAAAGAAAAATAAGAGTTTATAAAATAGATACATACTTTATTTATTGAAAGATCTTTTAGGTTGATGACCAAAAATAAAATTGTAAAGGTTTAAATTTAAAATAGACAATATTTTATCATTGTGAAATTGTATGTGGAATAACTCGATAAAAATAACAAAATATAACCTTCTCTTTTTGATAAATATATCCCCCGAAGAATAAATACCATAAATAATCTTAATATTAGTATCAAAGTCTAGTTAGATTTGGTGACAATCAATAAACCCCGTAACTATATACAAACAATAACAAAAAATGCAATGCAAAGACAAATTTGGTTAAATGGAAAATTTCAAAAGAATAATTCTTGGGATACAAAGTCACACATCATTAGAACAATAAGAGAAATAAGAGTTTGTAAAGAAAGGCTTTTTGAATGATAATTAAAAATAAAATTATGAGAGTTTGAGTCTAAAACGGACAATAACTTACCAATATAAAATTGTATATGAAATAATCCTATAAAAATAACAACATATAACACTCTCTTCTTGATAAATTTAAACCCTTAAAGACAAATACCATAAATAAACCTATCAGGCACACCTAATAATTTCTCCTTGCTGTCACCCCTCAACAGATCAAGGCATGAGTTGTTGTTAGATGAGTGGCCAAGGCTATTAAAATCCTCAATTATCAATAGAAATTGTAAAATGATAATTCTATTCTGATGACATTTGTTGATTTGTTCATGAATTATAGAAATTAGAATTCGACACCTGGTAAATCCAGGCAGTGAAACAAGATTATTCATGAGAAAAGAAGCTTGGAAGACCAAAAATAGTCACTTTATTTATAATTTTTCTCTTAGTCGAAACCATGACTAGAATGTATGCATGGAATTTAGAGAACACATAAAATATTAACGAGGGTACATGCAGTTACACAAAAGTGGTAAGCAATGATAAGCACTCCACATCCTCATAAAATAAATATAGCACACTGCCACACTCCTACTTAGGACAAACAAACAAATAAAACGCAACGAGAAAGTACTTCATGGTGCTTTCAAACTCCTTCAAGGAGCCCCACGTGAAAGCGAAATCAAGCATTAACATCAATTCATATTCAGAAGCTCTTCTATCATCTGCAACGCAATCATCTGCTCCTCATCCAACCCAATATTGTTGCTTTCATCTGCTTTAGCTTTATTAACCTTATTCTCTGAATCAGAAGCTCCATGGTTAATATTAATATTCTTCCTTTCCAACTCAACCGTCATGATCCAGTTTGATTCAGAACGTGGTCCTGCTCGCTTTTGCCACACTCCAAAGTGTGAATTCTCTGTGTCAAGCCTTAGGCAAGTTAGGGAAGGCGAAGGGAACTTGCAGCACTTCTTGAGCTTTGCATTGAGAACTGGAGAAAACGTTTTGGAAGAAAATGAAGTGGAACTGTGATTGCCCTTTTGATTATTCTCAACTGGGAAGTTTGTTTTGGCGTTTCTTCCACTCATCAAAATGGCTGCCTCATCATATGCTCTAGCTGCTTCTTCAGCTGTTCCAAACGTCCCAAGCCACACCCTTCTTTTCCTATTCAAACACCATAAACCATAAACTAAGATTTTTACATTCAATGCACATTTAAAAAAAAATAGTAGTACTATGTTGCTTAGTAATTCCACTTTCCACCAACACAAGCTAGTTATGTTGACACAAAGTAATCCACAAAATATGCATATAGTATATATGAACAAATGAAAAGAAAAACACAAACAATAAGTGAAAGTTAGTTTACAGTAAAGGGTGGCGAATCTCAGAAACCCACGAGCCCCAATGGCGTTGCCTGACACCTCTGAACTTCTTAGATTGCACCATGTTGGTCAGAACAGTGACTATCTTCTCTTTTTCTAGGAGAGAGAGAGAGAAATAGAGAGAAGGAGGAGGAGAGATACGGAGATGTATGGAACTTGTGACTATTAAAATGCGGAAGTCACATTATGTCGTGATGATACAGCAATGTGTATTTTTTTAAAGGTGTCCACAAAGTAAGTGCAAGCCAAAAGGACTAAATTATATTGATGTTGATATCCTATGTCAACAGCGATGTTTCATATTAGAGCAACACTAGTCTTACAAATACTGAGTTAGAATGCATAAACTGCTATCCGTAGAATGTTTGGTAAGAATCCTTGGACTAATATTAGCTTTATTTTTCAATTTTTTTTTTTTTACAAGACAGTCACTTTTAGAATTGAAATTTAAAATCTCACCATGCTCTAATTACTTGATTTCTTTGTGATCGCATATTAATTATGAGACTAGTTAATACAAGTTTCAAATAAATCACGCAAATGAACTCTAACATTTCATCTTAATCTAAAATTTTAAGACATCAAATTTATAAATCTTCCTTACTTATATACTACTTAACATACAACAACTCTCACTTGCACATGAATAGTAATCTATATATATATTTGAGGAAACTCTATTTTCTAATCAATAATAGAAATAGTTGAATATATTAACAGTCGTTATGCTCCTGAATGTAAGCACATTGTCAAACCCTTTTGTACACATTCATTCTATTGTTTAAGAATTCGGTAACTGCTATTGCTAACAATCCTGTAACCTTCAAAGCATAAACATAGGAAAGAGATTAGAAGCCATAAATATAAAAGATCTGCAGATCCAAACTGTAAATCTGCACAAAACTTTCTGCTTGGAGGACTAATTAACAAAACCAAGAAAATAAATAAAACAAATAATAAATTCAAACTGGGATTATTTATTGACAGACGGCCAGATGTCCTTTTCTATGGTTTAAACATTATTTGGTAATGTCTGTCAATTACATCAAGGTGGCAGCCGTTGGCTCCCAACTTTTAAACACTCTTTGTTCTATATACTAGATTGGCAACCAATAATTCTCATGGAAAAGATACCGTTCTGTAATTTTAAATATATACCACTAATCATTCCCAGGTATTCAAAAAATAAGGAGTACAAATTCTGGGCAAGTTTTCTAGATCTATGGGGAATTCGAATATCCATTTACTTGGCCTTTTGTTGCCATAAAATGAAAAGTACAATTGCAGAAGATCTCGGGATATTTGAAGCGTTTCTGATCAATTTAGTCCAAGATATTTCATCAGTACAGAACAAGATAATAATCTCCTTTGGAGAAAAAAAGCATTTGATCTCAACCTTTTATACTTGTAGCAAATAACTGTATCAAATAACCTTTAATTAATTTGATTTAATGAAAAATAAAATCATAGTAGCTATTTCAGGGTTGTATTTTCTCCCAAAACAGTGTAGATAAAAAGGACATAAAAATACATATCCAAACCCTTTGATATGTAGCAAGGAAACTCACATAAATGGATAAAAAAAATGAGTCTAACTGTGATGTATAAAAAAGCTTGTTTTCCATTGCAATAATACTGTCATTCTGTAGTAGTGTAAATGGAGGTGGCAGAGTACCACTTGGGTTTTTTTTTTTTTAATAACTTTTTCCTAACGGCTCAGCTCCTGAAAGGATAAAGTGATACTTTCAGTCACGATTTCATATATGAAGAATATAAGCGCGAAACACTTTTCCTATTGACTTATGGTACCACATGGGTGCTTTAACAAAAGCTTTAGATTTTGAGTTAGAAAATATGAATTCAGTTCAGTTAAATTAGATGCTACTGTATAAGGCATAAATAGTTCAAGCATGCACATGGTGAACTTCAGTCATTATAATAGATCCCTCATGTATTCCTTTACCTATTTCTTTCATACATGAAACTGACAATTCCATATTATGCCCAATTTTAGCCCAGCTAACATTTATCTAATTGCGACTTTTCATTGAAACTGTTTCTTATAAAGGAAAGTGAGGTTGAGTCTCAGAAAAGAAAAGTGTGAAGGTGCTAGTTTTCTCGGAAAATGCTAGTCTTAAAAAAGTTCACATCTGAATGTGGAATAATTAGATAACTACGTGAACATGTGCAGATTAATGTTAATGTGATTCCAGTACAGACTCGGAGGCATTCCAATTATCACTAAAAATAGGTGTATGTTTTTGTATGGGAAAAAGTTGCTCGATAGGTTACTCTTCCTCAACTTGGCTGTTAACAACAATTACCAATTTTGTAGAGGAATGCATATAAATTTCTTAAGCTGGCAGTGTTTGATTGTTGAATAATATGAAGTTCAAATGGCTCAAGGATACTAAATTACTAATATCATTCGTAAATATCAAGATTTCAAGATACTGCTTTTAGTGAGACAGTTTATAGTAGTATTAACGAATATAGAGAATACTATTTACATGAATCAACTAATGCGAGATTCCTCTATCTTAATCAGAAGTTTTGAATTGAGTTCTAAATACACAATTATGCTAAATACTCACAATTCAGATGTAGAGTTTTACTACCTATGCTAATTATGTTTACTTGAGCATGATAGTCACCACCAAAGAATATTTGTAGCTTATATAAAAAAAAAAAAAAAAAAATAGAGGATTAATGACAATGAGGATGCACCTAAGTTACAGAATAGTTTATCTTGTAACTTAAATAGGGATGAATTCAGTTAACTAAGTCACTTTTTGTAAACTGAATTGATTTGATTTTTTTCAAAAATAGTTTGGTTTTTTCATAATAATTCGGTGCAGTTGAATTATCTCCTTTAAACTCATATAAATCAACTTTTTAAAAGAACCAAACCAAACCAATTTATAAAAGTGATTTGATTAACTGAATCATTTTTATAAAGTGGTTTGATTCAAATTTTTTTCTCAAAATAATTTGATTTGGTTTGACTTTGGATCAATTCAATTTGGTTTGGTTGGATTTATTTTCTTTTGCACATTTTTGGTTAGTGGCTCAAATGGTGCAGCTAATTAAGTCAGTGATTAAAAACAAACGGCTCAACAACTCAGCTGATGTAATATGGAGTGGTAGCTATAGTACAGATTCTATACCTGATGGTTGTGTTATTAGTTGTGCTACTGCTGCCTCTAATTCGTCTTAAAAAAAGGGTGCTTCACGTTCTGCTTCTGCATCAACCACCACTCTGTCATTTTATTGATCATGCACAACTCGGAGATGTAGTAGCTACAGAGTTTAGAATAAATTGTTGGTGCCATTTGCTTGCTTGGACCACCTTCGCCTAACACTTTGTCTTGTCTAAATTTTGGTGTCTTTCCAACAGCTATTCCCTTCAACTTTTTTTTTTTATATTTTTTTTTTATCAATCTGAGGGGTAAAATGGAAAAATATGACAAATTATAAACAACCATAACTTCACCTCCTTTTCTTTTTCTACAAAAGGATTACATGGGTCAAATGCACCATCTATTCCTAATGTTTGAGGCTTGATTTCTAGTTTTGTATAGGCTATGGCATCTATTTCTGCCTTTAATATGACTCTCAGTTTTGAGTCATCTATTCTTTGTCAATTTGGCTTGAACAAGTGGAGTGTAACCTTGAGGCAACCATGGTCTTATATGTCATCATTGAACCCTTTGCATATGTATAATAATATAATAACAATTAATTAGTAGTTGATGGTTTTGAATTGGACTATCACAAATAGGCCAAGTCTATGTTCTGGCTCCTCTCTTCACAATCTGCCAACCAATTATAATTACTTCACTCAATATGTAGTAGGTTTATCCAAATCAATTCAGTAATTTACCATTAAAATACAAAACTAAAAATGGTAACTGGGAGTGTTTTTTTACAATGAAAACTCATGATAGATGGCTATAGTGCTGTGTTTGATTGAGGTACTCATGAAAGATTTTGTTATTTTTTCATTAAAAGTCTATAGAACGGTGGTTAGAGACATAGAATGATCACAACACACTATTAAATTAAATTAAATTATTTAAAATAAATTATGTATTTTAATAACCTTTCCTTATTTTATTTTATTTTTTGTAGACTTTTTTTTTTTAAATTTTATTTGAACTAAGTATACACATCCCATAAATCTAAACATTTTCCTCTTAAAAATTTATGTTTTAGTTTTACCTAAAGCCTTTTTTTTTCCCTCAATAAAGGGTGCAAAAATACAGTCTTAAGGAAAATTAAATACCTTTTACTCTAAGTCATGGACGGCCCAACCACTACCACCATTTTTTTTTTCTATACATCCACTAATACTATCGCCAAAATAATCATTATTTTGGAAGTACCCAAGGGAAACTATTGATTCCCCCAGATCGAGATGCGAGATATATATAGTTTTCACCTTATTTATTTATAAATTTAAATATTTTTCTTTCAATAAATATTGCCTTTTATTAATGCAAAAACTACAACTTAATTAAAATATTTTATTTAAGGAGAAAAAAATATCTTGCCGCTCCAAACCACTTATATTAATTTTGTTGATCAAGCGTATTATTTGTGAATTTTCTTAAACAAATAATAGTCATATTAAAAAGTTAAGATTAATTCATTACAATACAAACAAAATTGTTATGGTTATATTTTAATGTGTCTTGTTTTTTTAGGGTTAATGGTGGTTTTAGTATCCGAAAAACAAGTTATCTTTGCTATAGTTCCAGACTTTTAAAATCATAAATTTTCATTCTTGTAATTTTGAAACACCCAAATATTAATCCTCCAAGCTAACACGGGAAGTAACAACAACTTATAATTTAAGAAATTAAAGCTTAAATATTTTATAAAACATATGAACGAATATGGTCCAATAATGAAAATGGTTACTAAATGACCCGGATGGCCCTACCATTACCACCAATATGATTACTTTGCTAGACTTGCTAAGGGGAATTATTGATTGAACATGAAGGGGTGCCATAGTTTCCACTTTCCACCACGCCATTGTCACTCTCGCACTATATATGTTCACAATTAGTGGAGACTGAGGTTAATTAGACAAAAGAACAGTTGCATTGTGAGTTTAGTCCGAGGAACTGATAATTGTCATTATATATGCTGCTCCCTACCAGTCACTTGAAACTACTCACACCCTCATCAATCATTTCACAAGTTTTAAACCCAAATAGTACGCATTAGATATTTAATTGAGTTAATCATTTATATATTATTAGTGTAAAGTTTCTTTTATACTGGCAAACTAATTATATCTTTTAATTGTGTCATATTACTATTAAAAGTAAATATGTTTATAATGACATGATACAATTAAAAGATATAATTTGTTGTTAGTGTAAAAAAACTTTACACTCTCTCAGTGTATTAGTAATTAACTCTATTTAATGAAGCTAATCAGTTGCATGTACACCTTTCTTTAAAGTAAATGTTGACATGATATATCATCACTTTCGGCATTTGATAATTGGCGATGACATTTGTGAACCATGTCTCTAATATATAGCTGCTACTTTCTTCAATATCTCTCATCTTCCTTTCACATTAATTCTCATCTTTCTTCTCTTCACAAGTTAGTCTCTTTCCTATTGTTCTCTTCTTCTTGCTGAATTAATATTATTCAGAATTGTTAGGAACTAATTAGATTTAGTTAGTTTGTTAGTAGTGTGAAAAGTGGTTAATTTCTAAATGTTAGTGTGTTACATTCTCTTTTCTGGTGTGTGTGAGTGGGAGAGAGTGCTCCAATCTAACACGTTTTCACTCTTATGGAACCCCAATTTTATACGTTCAACTAGTGTTTGTGGTGATATATATTTAATGCTTTCTGCGAATTGAGTTGTGGTTGTAGGTAAGTGATGGCGCAAATTCTGCTGCATGGGACCCTCCATGCCACAATCTACGAGGTGGATAAACTCAAGACTGGAAGTAGTAATATTTTAACCAAGGTTTGCCTCTTTCTGCCCCTACTTGATGGTTTTTATTTGCTCAAATCTGTGCAGCATAATTAACTGATTTCATGAGGTAGTTGTTAAACTTCTTTTCATTTTTAGATAATCGGATTATTAGTGGAAAGTATTATCTATTTTGTCGATTGTTATTTATGAAAAATTTAGTCAATCATTTTTAGTGAAACTTTTTCTTTTCATTGCAATTTTTTTATTCACAAAATTTGAACCGTCTTATTTGAGAACCGAGTTTAGTTTTAATCAATCTAACAAACTTCTGCTTTTAATTAGTTGTACAGTTAGATTTTTCTTTTGTAATTAATGCATTAGTTTAGTGTTGATCTCATAGTGCTGTCTTTTATTTGTATATACAAACTACTAACTATATAAGAAAATTTCATTCTTTGTTTTAAATTCACAAATTTGATATAATTTGGATTGACATTTCCTTTGTTGCAAGTTTTGTTTAGGGAGTATCAAAACCCTCTGTGATTAGGATTATATAAATGATAACATGTGTTAATTTTGTTAAAATTTATATTTTTTAAGAATGTTTTAATATTTGTTATTTAACCTCTGTAATTTATAACCTTTTAAATAATAGTTCCCGGCCTATTTAAATATGTTTTATCTTCTTCATCTCTCTACCTGTTTTATTTTCATTTTTCCTTTCTCCCTAAGCCTCCATTGGAATCCGAAGCCACCGATTCAAGACCACCGTCGCTGCCGCCGGATTCTTCCCAGAGCTCCTACTTCGCTTGTTGAATTACATTCACGTTGCCTATAGGGTTGAAATTCAAAATCGTGGAGATGGAAGAACTGTTCTCCAACATGCTCCTACGAGAATCCTCCATCACCATGCTTATGTTCCGGTCCCACTCCGCGCGGTTTCTCAGCTGCGCCGCGGCGACGGTAGCAATAGCAGCAGTAGAGGTGGAGAATGTGTTAGGGTTGAAGTAATTCCCGCGAAAATAGTGCGACGGTGCCAACATGGTGGAGTCGGAGCTTCGGAGGGAGATGTTGAGAGAGGTGAAGTTGGCGGGGATGGTGCCAGTGCCGGAGCCAGAGATGCACCAGAGAGAAGAGAAAAAATGAAAATGAAACGGGTAGGGAGAAGAAGAAGATAAAACATATTTAAATAGATGGGGAGTTATTATTTAAAAGGTTATAAATTAACAAGGGTTATATAGCAAATATTAAAACATTTTTAAAAAATATAAGTTTTGACAAAATTAACACGTGTCATGGTTTATGTGATCCTAGTCACAAAGTATTTTGGTACCCCTAAACAAAACTTGCACAAAAAGAAATCCCATTTGGAGATAAATATAATTTTAAAAGTTTTTTATTAAAAAATATATTTTTTTTTCAATAAAGAAGTTTTTAAAAGTATTTTTAGACTATATATATCTAAACACGTTCATAGTGTGAGAGCTGTCTCTGCCACTGTCTTTGTTGATTCTTACAAGATCTCTTTCAGAATCTTTGCCAGTTCAAAGAAATTCATTCTTTCGAACAGGACCGGTTTGTGTGGCCCGTTAACCTGGTCTAGGAACATATATATACTTTTTATATTTTAATATAATAAATATTCTTTTTAATAAAAACAAATATATTTTTTTAGCTTTTTAATAAAATAAACGCCATCCGTTTTTCAAGTATGCTGCTGCGGTGCGGGCTCTGATTTTTTTTTTTTTTTTTTTTTTTTTTTTTTACTTTTCAAGTGTTTTGAAAATTCTTGAACTAAGAAAATTGCGTGGTGGTAATGGCAGAGATGCAGAGTTGATTGGAAGGATAAAGGGGTTTTTCGATTACATGAAGAAAAATAAAATCGACTAATATGTTGAGGGAAAGCCGTAGAGGATAGTTGACTGTCTCATTGGCACAAACCTTTATTTTACTAATAATACATTACTATTGACTATTGTAATGCTAATTTCGTAAACATTATTCTGATATAGCTGGTGCAAAACATCGAGGAGAAAGTTGGTGTTGGGAAAGGAATTCCTAAATTATATGCAACCATTGATCTAGAGAAGGCACGCGTGGGAAGGACCAGAATCATAGAAAAGGAGCACACAAATCCAAAATGGTACGAGTCTTTTCACATTTATTGTGCTCATACGGCTTCAAATATCATATTCACAGTGAAAGATGATAATCCTATTGGCGCAACCTTAACCGGAAGAGCATATGTGCCTGTTGAGGAGATCTTGGATGGCAAAGAAATAGATAGATGGGTTGAAATACTAGATGATGATAAAAAACCAATACATTCTCATTCAAAGATTCACGTTAAGTTGCAATACTTTGATGTTTCAAAAGACCTCAACTGGGGCAAAGGCATTAGAAGTCCTAAATTCCCTGGAGTTCCCTACACTTTCTACTCACAGAGGCAAGGATGTAAGGTATCTCTGTACCAAGATGCTCATCCCTACACGTTCTTCTCACAAAGACAAGGATGTAGGGTTTCTTTGTACCAAGATGCTCATGTCCCAGACAACTTTGTCCCTAGAATACCACTTGTTGGAGGCCAAACATACCAACCTCATAGATGTTGGGAAGATGTTTTTGATGCAATCAATAACGCACAACACTTGATATACATTACTGGATGGTCTGTTTACACTGAGATTACGTTGGTGAGAGATTCTAAGAGGCCAAAGCCTGGTGGAGATGCAACACTTGGTGAGCTTCTCAAGAAAAAAGCACGTGATGGTGTCAGGGTTTTGATGCTTGTGTGGGACGATAGAACTTCGGTTCCTTTGTTGAAGAAAGATGGGTTGATGGCTACTCATGATGAAGACACCGGGAACTACTTCTACGAAAGTGATGTGCACTGTGTTTTGTGCCCTCGAAATCCAGATGATGGTGAGAGCAAAATTCAGGATTTGGAAATCTCAACCATGTTTACTCATCATCAGAAAATCGTGGTAGTGGACAGTGCTTTGCCGAATGGAATATCAGATAAGAGAAGAATTGTGAGCTTTGTGGGGGGTATTGATCTTTGTGATGGAAGATATGACACTCAGTTTCATTCACTTTTTAGAACATTAAACACAGTACATCATGATGATTTTCATCAGCCTAACTTTTCTGGTACTTCAATAAAGAAAGGTGGTCCGAGGGAACCTTGGCATGACATACACTCAAAACTTGAAGGGCCTATTGCATGGGATGTTTTGTTCAACTTTGAGCAAAGATGGAAGAAGCAAGGTGGAAAGGACTTGCTTATTCCACTTAGAGACCTTGAAGATGTGATCATTTCCCCATCCCCAGTAACATACCCTGAAGATCATGAAACATGGAATGTTCAGTTATTTAGATCCATTTGATGGTGGAGCTGCTTTTGGGTTCCCAGAGACTCCTGAAGAGGCTGCAAGATCTGGACTCGTTAGTGGGAAGGATAATATAATAGACCGTGGCATTCAAGATGCATATATTAATGCCATTAGACGTGCCAAAAATTTCATCTACATTGAGAATCAGTATTTCCTTGGAAGTTGTTATGGTTGGAGTGCTGATGGTATCAAACCTGAAGACATTGGTGCTTTGCATTTGATCCCGAAGGAGCTTTCACTTAAGATTGTTAGTAAGATTGAAGGTGGAGAAAGGTTTAGTGTGTATGTTGTGGTTCCAATGTGGCCAGAGGGTTACCCTGAGAAAGGTACAGTTCAGGCAATATTGGACTGGCAGAGGAGAACAATGGATATGATGTACAAGGATGTTGTTGGAGCACTAAAGGCCAAGGGAATTGATGAAGATCCTAGGAACTATTTGACATTCTTCTGCCTTGGGAATCGGGAGCTCAAGAAACCAGAAGAGTATGAGCCTCCAGAAAGACCTGATCCTGATACAGATTATATGAGAGCCCAAGAGTCTCGACGCTTCATGATTTATGTTCATGCAAAAATGATGATAGGTACGTAAGTTAATCAATTAAGTTGAATATTTTGTAAAATCAATCTCATGCACAAGCTGCGCAAACCTCACTGATAATCTAGATTTATTTTATTCGAATCATTTTTATAACTCCACCACTAAATGTGGTCCACATTCACAAAACCATAGCCTAATTAAACTGTGAATGTCAAGAAATTATTGTATGGTTTGAGATCACTACATGTCTATATTTCGAATCAATCTTCGTGTGACATATTGTTAAGTTTTTTAATATTCTATCCCAAGTAACCTGATTATGAAAAACTATTACATGATTTATTAATTTTAGATTATATGAACTTTTCAATTAAAAAAAAAGGAATTAATAAGACACGATTATTAGTCACATAAAAATTGATTGAAACATGGTAATTTGGACTATATATAATAATTTCTCAACTTCAAGTCACATGAGATAACAGACATGATTCAGAACTAGACAATAACTTTTAGTGAGGCCATACAATTTTGCAGTGCTTATGATTAACTTTTTTTACGTCCAAGAGAAAATTTGAGATGCACAAGAAGTTCATAATGTGATGGAACTTCGTTTTATGCAGTTGATGATGAATACATAATCATTGGATCTGCTAACATAAACCAGAGATCGATGGATGGTGCAAGAGACTCAGAGATTGCAATGGGTGCTTATCAACCCTATCATTTGGCTACAAGGCAACCAGCAAGAGGTCAAATCCATGGTTTTCGTATGTCATTGTGGTATGAGCACCTTGGCTTGCTTGATGACTCATTCCTCCACCCTGAAAGTGAAGAATGCATTAAGAAGGTGAACCAGATTGGTGACAAGTATTGGGATCTCTACACAACAGAGCCACTTGAGCAAGACCTTCCTGGCCACCTGCTTCGGTATCCAATTGCGATTTCCAGTGAAGGAAGTGTGACACAATTGCAAGGATTTGAATTCTTCCCTGACACCAAGGCTCCTGTTCTTGGGGCCAAATCTGACTATATGCCACCTATCCTTACTACTTAGTCTCATCATGTATTGCATGTATTGCTTTGTTAGTGGAATCTATGTAGTGTTTGTGATGTTAATGAGAGAGTGAGCAATAATTGTATTAATGATGGTCCTGTCACCTATGAAGATGATTTTTTTCTTCTTCTTTTTACTAACATGGCATGCTAGATTTTTGCAATCCCATGTTATGGTCGTTGTCGTATTGCATGACTTAAAATGATTTCTTAACGATGGTTCTTTCTGGACTTGTCTTTTAGTTGTTGTCTGACAATTCGATATCACTGTCGAGTGTCTAGGGGCCTTCTTCCTCTTGTCTATAAAAATTTTGATTCCCATTATTCATGACTAATATGAAAATACAATAAATTAAATTCACTCCATGCATACGATAGTAATTTTTTTTTAGAGTTAATTAATGAGTATTACTTTTTATTCATATGTCACGATAATTAACTAAATGATAAAATTGCAAAACAAATCTTGGACACCAAAAAAAAAAATATTGTTTTATTATTAGTATAGATAACTTGCACGTTTTAAATATTAGAAAATGTAAATAAATAAAAAAATTAGAAGCAATGATTCATCAAAATTTTCATGCTTTCTCACTCTTACTATTGTGTCTGTTTGAAACTTTGTAATTTGAAGTTTGAACACTGATCTATTAAGCCACGCATGTTATGCAGTGCGTCATTTAAGCTGTGACCCTCTGACTTTTTAATTAATTAATTAAATATATAATTTTAATATTATAGTTGTTATTTTTATTTTTTGAATTTTACTATGGAGATTATGACTCTTAAATGTCATTTATCTTTCCTGCCTTTCCTAATAATATATTTTATTTTCATTTTACTGTTTTTATCATGAAGATAATAACATTTTCAATCTTTTAGACAAATATTTTATTTTCATTTTATAGTATTTATTGGGAAGATAATTATTATTTATTTTCTTTTTTAATGATCTTTTCTATTATTAGTTAGTATATTTATTTTTAAAATTATAAATAATTACATTTACAATCTAATATAAATGTTTAAATATATTTAAATTTTAAATATAATACAAATAATTAAAAAAATAAATTAAAGGAACTCACGTTAATTTATATTTAAATGTTCTGTTCATTGTTTTAATTATACATAAATGACCATTATTATGTATTTAATAGGTTAAATAGAAGGTGTTAATGAGTTTTTAATGACTATTGTATTTTTTTTATTCTCAGGGAGTATTCTATATAAATTTGATATTCATTTGAATTTGATTTTTAAATTCAAATTAGTCACCTCCGCGCAACTCTAGTTCGATTTGATCATTAGTTTTCACTTTTTATCTTAATTCAATAATGATATTTAGAGTTAATTAAGAATGAAAATGCGATCTGGCTATTTTAGTACTGATTTACTTGTATTTTTATTATGTTTTTTATTTTTATCTCCCTTTCTATTTACAAAATTGTCACTTTATTAAAAATTCTAACCATGATAGCGGGATCCAACTTATTACTGTCATGTGCACACTATTTTAATCATTTATCACTAAGTTGATACCAAAATATATTAATCTAAAACATTTATTATAGTGATGGGCCACCATAATGCACTACTCAACACTTTATTAATGCTCTAGAGTAGGCCTTTTACAGGAGTCCGTTATTGTTTCGTCTAAATCTATATATAAATAAAATAAATTAATTTCATATATATTAAAAAAATTAGTTAAATATATTTAATTTTTATAATTTTATATAAAATGTATATTATATTATTTAAAATATTCTTAATCACATTAATTATGAATAGTATTCTCATTTATTGTCTTAATAATATTTTTAAACTAAAATTATTAAATAAAATTGATTTAATTGAAATTATTTATATTTAAGCTAAAAAAAAATTAAATATTTTTTATATGTATGTCCAGATGGAGTACTCAGCAACCAGTAATATTAAATCATTTTCAATTATTTCAAATTATTCTCTCTTTAATTTTATACTAATTCTCTTTATTATACTACACATATTTGTAATTTACAATAAGTTTATATGATAATTTAAATTATTTATTATAAACCTGAAACACATTTTATAAATTAAAAATATTTATTTTTATTACTTTTAATGACAATATAATTTATATATTTAAAAAATATAAAAATAAATATTCATCGTATACAATGCCCAAATTAAAATATTAATTAGTCAACAGTATTATAATATATATATATATATATTCACAGTTCATGAAAATTAAAATTCAAAAATATTTATAAAATTACAAAACAAAAAAAACATTATTCTTTTGAAATCTTACCATTTTTTTTAATGATATTTTGAACTGTGTATTATTTATGACTATGAAAGTTTCGGCTTTTAATTATTGTTTTTCGTTGTTAACATTGTACTTACTTTATCTTCCAAAACTTACCACTGATTTTAATCAATTATATAGTTATTATAATTTCATAAGTGCCGACAAGTAATTTTTCAAAGTGATTGTGATAGATTGTTGGGTATTTAAGATGGCACGTTGATGACCAGGAATAATAAATAATAACTAATCAGTAGGCATTTCTAGAAATTGAAAAGTTTATTGATTCTGCTATCATGGGCTCTTTCCATTGGCTCATGTCAAATTTCAAGGAAAATAATATATTAGTCATTTTGTGTGTATTATTGGTCTATAAAATATAACATGATATTCTATTGTTTAATCTTCTACTAGATGTTTATCCATACTACATACAACATGCTATATACTATCATATCGCACACATGTCAATGCAAGTGTCAAGAAGAAAAAATGACAAATGATTGGAATATAATATTATACATGAAAGGGATATGGAGGACATATTTAAAATTAAACCATAAAACAAACTATACCTAATTATATAAATTAAAATAATTATAAGTTGAATATGAACACATTAAAAAAATGGAACACCAGTGTAATTTTTTTAAAAAATCCAAATTTTTATATTATACAAGTTTTATTTTTTTTACATTTTTTTTATATTTGTGGACCTATTCACAATTAAATTACATTCAAATACTTTAAAAGATATGATGACTAGTGGTTGGAGGAATCTTTCATATAGTTGAGGTTCCTTTCGTCTTCTTTATTATTTTTTTTTTATTTCTCCATTTTCGTAGTGAGAAAGAGAATCACACCCACAATCCACAGGTTTCTAATATCCATGAAAGACACATCTATTTCAAATGCAATACCACACTTAGCAATAAAAATTGTCAAATATTTGTAGCTTAAGAAATTGAGGGATTCTTTCCCATAATTCTGGTTTCAGACAAATAAATTAAGGCTGCTTCCATTCCACATAGTAAAATTTGAATTATTATTTATTATTAAACATGTCAAGAAAAAAAAATGTTATCGTTTATTATTCATAATTATTTGTTATTGATTGAGAATATAAAAGTATACACTTTTTTTCTTCTTTTATACTTGACTTAAAAACTTATGGAAAGTTTGTGTTTTCCATTGTTTTTATCCCGAAATGAGTAATATAAAAGAAAGAATGTAGATTTCCGTTTCGAAAACTTAAAATAAACCAAAAAAGAAAAATCAACAACGAAGAAGGAAATTCTAAAGATTTAACTAGTTTAAGAAATAGAGTAATCTCTTTATTTTTCAAGATTCTAATCATCAAACACTCTAGAAACTTTGAATTTGAATTCATGACATCTAAAGTAATAATCGAAACCGCGTATTTCACTCTCTTTTATAAGTATACTTTAGTATTTATATTTTACATATTAAATGATTATTATATGTAACAATTTTTTTAATAAATTATATACAAATAAAATTATAATTGAATGAATATTTATATTCAAAATTTTTATAAATAGATATTTTTAAACATATAAATTAAATATTAAATTTAAAATAAATAATTTATAGTATAACATAAGATTATTTTTATTTATTGATAATTTTATTTTAAAAATATTAAAACTTAATTCATAAATAGATATAAGGAATAAAAGTCGAATTAGATAATAATTTTAACAAAATTCTAAAAATATTTCTGTCATATATTAGTTTTTAAAAACGTTTTTACATCAAATAATTATTCACGTTTAATATATAATGGCTTATTAGTTAAAAAAATAAACACTTTGTATGTAATAAAATTTAAAATATAAAATATAAATGATTAAAAGATATAAATAATTGTTATAATGAATGAGTGATCTACACAATTAATTAAAAGACAAAATTGTCTATAAAGCTTATACACCAAATATAGATATACCCTTTGTTAATTATTAGTATAGATAAATTAATGAGTACCAACAAGTCGTTTGATTTGAATAATATTATATTTAATCTTTTTAATTAAAGTCTTGTATTCAATTTTTATCTAAAGAAAAAAAATCATATTTTTCAATAGAAATTAGTCACATAAACTCTTTATAAAAGTTAATTTTATTTAAATACAAATAAAATTACCATGAATGATAGAAAAGTTTTCTATATAGTTAACCACTATTTAAATTAAAATATTCGATCTTTTATCAATTAATGTAGGCATTTGACTGTATAAACGAGATTTATTTAATATCAAGATGCGATATATAATAGGAAAATACAAAACAATATTAAAATAGTATCAAAATATTTTCACTCAAAATCAAAATATTATTTAGAAAACCTTAAAAAGAATCATTTTGATAAATGGTAAGTTCAACTAATTGAAATTAAAAAAACTAAGATTGATTTGTAGAGTTTTAAAATAATACATTTTTTTATTACATTTATATATGCTAATATAATAAATACTTTATATTTTCATAAGAACTATACCTTCTAAATTATTAATTAATATTACAAAAATAAAAATAAAATGTTTTCAACACGTGGAGTAATCATTTGCACACCTACGTTGAACCATTTGGCAAACGGGCATTGGTAAGTGAAAGCATTGCCAACTAGTCAAATGTGAAACACAATGAACAAACCTTTGTATTATTGTATATAATAATACTCCTTTCTTCAATGTCTCATCCCTCATCTTTCCATTCTCATCTCTCTCCTTCAACACCGATTTCGGGTCCGATTCCACCCCCTATTTCTTTTTTCTTATTTCGAGTGTTTGTGTTTTGACTTGTGATAATTGTGTGTGTGAATTGTGACTGTAGGTAAGTGATGGCGCAGATCCTGCTCCATGGAACTCTACATGCTACAATCTATGAGGTCGACAGGCTCAAGACTG